AAATAATAAAAAATGTTTGATTCTCCGTTTTTAAAAAATCTATCATCCAAGTAGCAAGTCCTCTTGGCTCTACTTCTAAGATATATTCCAAGTGCATCCATGTTTCTTCACCTCAACTGTCTCACCATCTCTTGCTTAGATGACTGCAACAGCTTTGCAAATAGTCTCCCTGCTTCATTCCTGTCTTGTGCCCTCTTACAATTCATTCATTCTATAGCAACCAGAGGGATTCTCTTAAAATGCAATTTAGATGACACTGCTCCTGCACTTAACAATTTTTCAATCAATTAATTCTTGTATTCTTAGAATATAGTTGAAATATCATTCTGAAGCTCTCGTAGCCTAACCCATTCCCTCCTCTCTCTACATCTCAGAGTTCATCATGACACCACTCTTACCTTCATTCACGTGGTACTTTCCTACTGCTCCAAAAGGCCAAAGCTTTTGTCTGGTCTAAGGCCTTGGTTCTTACCATTGTTTTCTGCTTGGAATGCTATTTGCTCAGATCTTCAGATGGGTGACTCTTGTCATTCATGTTGCAGCTTGAAGAGGTTTTCTCTTACCACTCTTATCTAATGTTGCTACCTAGTTACTATAACATAGTTCTTTTATATTTTTTTCACAACTGAAATAAACTTTCTTTCATTTGTTTACTTGTTTCTGTCAGCCTTTCCTGTCTAGAATATTGATTCCCGGGGAATGAGGAACTTCACTACCTGGCACATAGCAAGTTCTCAAAATTTGGATGGAGAAAACCAGATTTTTCTTTAGAGCTGCTTTCTTAGGTCCTATATAAACTGATCAGTTGGATGAACTCTTCCAAGCCTTCTTCAGAATTAACACATTAAAATGGAAATAATTTAATCACTCTACTCAAAAGCTGCTACACAACTTCATTTAATACAGAAAAAATATTTTAGTTTGACAACCTTTTATTGAGTTTTACTTTCTATTCTCCATCTATCAGTTCTTTTTTATTAATTGGGGTGCCATTGGTTAATAAAATTATACAGGTTTCAGTTGTACAATTCTATAATACATTGTTTGTATATTGTACTATGTGTTTACCACCTGTTTCATTTATTAATCATTGTAAGAATGTATGCATGGACTAGAGAGAGCCCTAAGTCCCCTCAACAGGCCTCCCAGGAGGTTAGTTTCTTTAGCATGTTAAAGTCTCATCCCTTCTCAATGATCTTGAGGATATCCCTATGGAATCACTTTAATTTTGATTGTCAATTTTAAGGTAAGATGTCTGCAGGGCATGTATCATCTCATCTCTCTTCTCTATAGGCAACCACCCCTTGGTACTGTAGACTGGTCAGAGTCCCAATATATTTTAATATATTTATTCTGTAAATGTGCTTCTTTAAATAGATAATAAAAGTAAGCTCTAAAAAGTGAACAGGTATTATTACATGTTATTACCCTATGAAGGGGAAAAATAAGGCTGAGGGTTGTTGGCAATAACACCTTCAAGGCATTTCCTACCATCCTAGATAATAATATGAAATGTCCAAAAAATGTTTAACCTACTTTAAAATGTATGTTTAAATGGGCTTATCAGTTCTTGCGTCTTGGTAGACTAATGTTGAGAAAACTATATAAAGGTAAGACTCTCCTTCAGTGTGTATGTCACATCAACAAAACCAAATCTAAGAATTATTAATAGACCTTCTACTACTAAGAGGGAATATAAGCTGGCATAGAGTCATGAAATGGTCAATCTACATATATCTAGTTATAGTTGTAACCCAGAATTTTGAAAAGAAAGTCAACCTCATAAACAATCTTTCTTGTCTGTTGCAGTACTCATCTTTAAAAAACTGTACTGCTCCCAATATAGCATTTCACCCCCCAAAAAGCTTATGTAAAAATATTTATATAGTCCAGAAAATAAACCAGATGATAAAATGTATTTATGCCTACTGTTTAAGTATTTTTTAAAAAAGATTTTATTTATTTATTTTAGAGAGAGGGGAAGGGAGGGAGAAAGAAAGGGAGAGAAACATCGATGTCAGAGAGAACTGGTTGCCCTTTGCTGGCCTGCAACCCAGGCATCTGCCCTGATTGGGAATTGAACCAGTGACCTTTTGGTTCGCAGGCCAGTGCTGAACGCACTGGGCCACACCAGTCAAGATTGATTAAGTATTTTTAAAGACTGAGCTACTAGCTATTGTCAAAAATTTTATTGTGCATGAGTTCTCATTTTTCCTAAGAAGTCTGAAACACTGTATTTCAATAGGCAGTACTCCACAACCAGATTAAATCCTAAAAATACCTAGATTTGTTGTTTTGAACTTCTAAGTACAATTTCTTGCAGGACAACTGCAGAAGAAATTCAGCCTACTTATAATATAGTCACGTGAGTACATATTATATTTCTCTTCTTACTGTTCATCAAGAAAGCTGGTAACCTAGTGGTAAAGAAGGGGCGTTCTGAATCCTGGAGGACTGTCTTCTATCCTTTGAGAGACATTTCTGCACCTCCTCGATCCTCATTAGTTGTTCCTAATACCTAAGGTATCAGTAAGGTGGCTACGGGCACTCTGAAATTACATATGCATATAAATCCCAGAGATCAAGCAAAACAAAATGCTATATATCCTTTCAGAACAAAATGCTTGACAAGTTCCCACATTTCCAGGTGTTTCAGTTTTCCCGAGGGACATGAAAATAACTGGAACACAACAAAATAAGAGTGTGAGTTGTATGTATTATATAAAGGAATTCAGCATGGCCTGGAAGCATAAAGCTTGTAACCTGGTAGGTTTCATACTCTTTTTCTACTTATAAAATGGCAGAAATCATTAAGGCAAAACCACTGTAAATTTAACTCAGTAATATATAGATAAATGTCAACTGTTCATTCTTCTCATTAGTCATTAAACTTTATATTTTAAAAAACCAAAAAGTGGTAAATGAAGTTGGTGTGGGTCTTTATTAAACCTCAGCCTGTAGTTTAAGTGATTATGGAAGGAAATACGAAGAGGCTTTACTGGAGTAACCAAATAAACTTGGTTTAAAACATTTTCAAATTTGTTACAATTTAAAGAAAACTAGTTTCATTTATGTTTTTATTGTTCACAATAATACTTCCAATATTACTATAGTATCTCAAGACATATTAAAAAATAATGGTGAGATTAACTTATTTATAAATATGTAATTTATTTTTTAAAAAACCCTTTGAAATAGCATTAGAAGTAATGCCTGAATTGATACTACATTTGAGATACAATACAGCATAACACCGCACCATCCCTATAGTAAATGACCTTAAAATCAGAAATGACACTGTGTTGTATTTGTGTAAAAATGATAGCTAACCCAGAAGGATAGGCACAGGGTGGCCTCACAGAGAGCTAGACTAGGGTGCTAATATAAATGGAAGGTATACTTTTATTTGTCAATTATAACTCAATAAACCTGAAAAAAAGAAGTGATGGGGGAGGAAGGGAGGGAAGCAAGAATTAAACAAAAAAGGGAAGATGTGACACACCACTATTTTGCCTATGTAACGTTATCCATCCATCCAACTAACCAACCAGTTATTAAAACACTTAAAAGAAAGTAGGCACTGTGCAAAGCTTGTTCTTAGACTAAAGGCATACATATTTTTGGATGGCTGCTCAGAACTGCTATTCGATCTCAGAACATAAAAATCTAATTGGTACTCACTGAATTCACTCCCACTCTTGGTCTCATTAGTAGTTAAGTGCTCACTGACTGAATCCTTTCAATTTCCGGATCAGTTGGTCTTCTAGCCACACATTCAACTCTGACAGAGTTTTCAATCTGTCAAGCCCTCAAAAGCCTTTCCGAACATATAAAATCAAAGTAAGGAAATGGAATGGCTTGGTGTGAAAAGCTATGGAAACACACAGGCCACTGGAATATCAGAGCCATGTTCTGGATATGACTTCGAGCTATATGCTTATCTCCCCCACTTTTGATTTACACAGAGAATTAAAAAAATATAAATATAAATATACATGGTCTAGAGTTAACTCTTCTCTCAACTCTGTTCAACATAATGCATAATGATCAACGTGCTGTATTTACTGCAAAAGTAAAGACACTGCTCTTGGAGAAAAACAATGCTGTATAACGATGTGCATATCACTTGACAGTGTTAAGTTTCACTTTTCTTTCTATAAAATAGGGATAATAGCCCTCCTGCCTAACTTACGGGGTCATTGAAAGGATGACTAAGATAGTGAATGTCAAAGAACTTGGGAACTGCTAAGCTATTATTACTATGTACATTGCTCTTTTGACCTTTTGAACTTTTTTCTAACTCATAGTTTAACTGTAAGACTAGTTAGAATATACAGATACAGAAAATCAAAAGTAATGGGATTTTGGAGAGGACAACAGAGAATAGAAATAAGGGGAATACTTATTAGGATAATTGGTTAGAATCAAGAACATAGGAAGTTAGTCCCAGAATTAGAGTCAAGTCCTGATGTAAAACGGGGAGTTGAGTGCTTACCCTTTGCAGACACAGGCCAATTCACCCAACACACACAACCACCATGCTGAACTGTGATATTTTTACGTGAATCACTGAGAACAAGTTGGGGCTGGAGGTGTAAGGGGAAGAACTTCCAACCCTGATGATCGGGCTCTTCCCCAATCTCTACGTTTAACAAGCGCTTCAGCTGTCTCCTCTGTAAAATGAATACTGACGGCGCCTGTCAGCTCCATCGCACCGCCACCGAGAGGATGAATGAGACAGTGTCTGGAAGGCGTAAGGAGTGATGTCTGATAAACACCAAGTGCATCACTGTTTATAAAGTAGCGCGGTGAGTCCCGTTATGCCCTCCCGCTTCAATGAAATCATCGGGAAACCTCCCCCCAGCCACTGAAGAAAGCTTCGAAGCGGGCCAGGCATTTCTTCGCTAAATCTATTTCTGGGTGAGAGCTAGGAGCGACTCGAGCCCCGCGGGAGGGGCGGAGGTAAAGGAGGGTGGATGGGAAGGTTATGACGAGCCTACCTGTTGTTCCGAATGCTGACCAGCACGCACAGCACCAGCTCCAAGTAGGTGCGCAGCACTTCCAGCCACCGGGTTGAGAGCTGCAGGGCCTCGACTTCTTCCCCGCCAGTCCCGGCGTCCGCGCCTCCTCCGTCTCCTGGCCCGCCACCTCCGCTCAGGTAATTCTCGGCGGCGAACTCAACGCGCAGCTCTCGCACGAACCAGCCGCACTTGCGCATGAGGAATTCGAGCCGAGGCTGCTCCGCGGGTGAGACCCGGAGGCAGATGCGGAGCTGGGGCCAGAGGGCTGGGTAGAAGAGGCACTCGCGCCAGTGCGAGCAGGAGGCCGAGGCCCGCAGCCGGTCGGGCGCGGGCAGGAAGGAGAAGATGTGCACGATCAACTCGCTAGGCAGCGAAGCGGCCCCAGCCGCCTGCCCGCACAGAGCCATCCGGCCCCGCCGATGGCTGCCGGTCCCCGGTCGCCCCCGCAGACTCCGGAGCAGCCCCCGCAGCCGTTGCAGCTGCTGCAGCCGCAGCCACTGTCGCCGCCGCCACCGCGCCGCCCGGGCGGCCCCGGCTCGGGTTCGAGTTCCCGGCGGTCGGGGCTGCGGCACTGACAAGAACAACAACATCAATGACAAGGAAGAAGGGGGCGGAACCGTCGTGGGTCTCGGCAGAACCAAGTGCAGCACAAGTTGCGGCGAGGGGGAGAAGCCTCTGTGGGGGCGGTCTCCAGACAACCAGCTGCTGGTCTCTCAAACTCTACTCACGAGTCCCGGAGGCCTGCACACGCAGTAACTTCAAAACCATCGGCTGTACTGTTTAAGGGTCCCGGAAGCAGCAGGATTTATTGTAAGGAAATAGTGGCCCTCCCCACGCCTGGAAGCGGAGGCAAAGCAGTGGTAGAAGCTTAGTTTGACGTCGCCCGTGGTGGGAGGGACTCGGCGCTGATGGGAGCGACTTCCGGAAGAGGGAAATGCCCCGTTGCCGGTAGGGAGGGGAGACGCGGCACGTGACCCTTGACGCACGCCGGCCGGGCGGAGCGGGAAGTGTGGGTGGTGCTCTCTCTGAGCAGCCCTTCCCGCCACACTGCGGCTGTCGAGTTCCGTCGAGTCTGGCAGTTGGTTAATTTGGGCGTTCAGGCGGTGGAAATGGTAGAACTCGGGTTAGTGCGAGGGATGTGACGCTTCTCTCATTATTCGCTTCTCAGTTGCTGGGCCGAAGACTCAGAGCTCAAGTGCCAGCATGAAGGGTCTTATTCACCCGTCCCACCTGCTCAGAGTATTTTTAAGGGTTTGAGAGAGTCCCTCAGGAGGGGGACCGGGCGCTCTCGTGTGCATAGCCGGACAGGCTGTGTCGGGAGAGAGGCGCGTCCGAAGTCGCACGTGGACGTCCCCGCTGGGTCGGACCAGGCTAATAGACCTTCGCGCACACCTGGTTATGTGGGGAAGGAGTGAGGACAGCGCCACCGTTTGGGTTTAGAGGGCTAGGGGGGAATAAAGCTAACGTGATCGGCTGGCCGACTGTCAGTCTATTCTCCAGGGCTTAAAGGAGACTCTCATTTCCCAGTTCTGAATTTATAAGGCCCTAGTTGAAATGAAGGTAGTGGTTATAGTAAAAGTTTTCTTTAGCTTGAGAGAAGGATTTTCCAGAGAGTGTCCTTTAACTTCATCACAATCTGGGGAAGTAGTTAACTGGTTGTAATGGGCAATGAAGTCAGAAAGGAATATGATTTTATGTAATAATTGAGGAATGCTTTAGTAAGGCCGCCGCTTCAAAGCTTTAACTATGATCTTGGAACAGCCTTGTTATCTTGTAAATGCCAAGAAGCTGTTATATTAGATAATCCTAGTTCTTTGAGGGCAAAGCTCTCTGTTCATGCTGCTTTGATGCTTTTTGGTACCTTGCATATGTGCCACGTTGCTAAAAATATTGTTATTACTTCTGAGCTCTTCAGCTCAGTACCTGCTTAAAAAATAGCTAATATTCATGGTAGGTCACTTCTCTGAACCTGTCTGCAAGAGTTCTTTCTATGTAGTTATATCTTATGCATAAATTAATGAGTGTTTATGGAAATAGCGCATTAGGAAGTTAAGACTTGGCGTTTTAATTTTTTATATCTTAAACTCATTGATGTATTTTGCAGTGAACTATAGAGAGTCTAAATCTGCCACTGCTACCTACTTTAGTATGCATAACTATAAAAACATATTACTATATGACAAAAATATCAAAATATTTAAAATAAATAACTTCTTAATGTTTTCTAATACTCCATATTTAAATGTATCCAGTTATCTCCCAGATATCCTTTGTCCAGCTGTTTTGTCCAAACCAGGATCCAGTTAGGGACCACACTTGTTTTTGGTTATGTATGTCAAACCTTTTAAAATCTAAAATAGCTCCCCACTGCGCAGTCTTTTTCTTTTTCTGATTAGCTAAAAGAGGCCAGGCTTATTTTCCTGTAGAGTATCACACCTTTTGTAATTGTTTGACGACTATCTATTGGTGTTTAGCTTAATTCTGTAGTCCTTGTATTTCTAATAAACCAGGACATAATGCTAAACACTTTAGATTTGTGACATCTTGATCTCCATCATTTAACATTCTGTGCTTTTTTTTTTTTTTCCTCCTTAAGACAAAGTAATCTGAGGTGCTATTTTGGTTTCCTAGAAATGTCCAGCGTCCATCATTCATTCACTTAATGGCCTTAACACATTGATAATTGTTGTCTGAAACATAATTTATTAGGAGTTTCAAAGTGATATTTTCTATTCTTTCATTCCATCTGTATTTAAGTTTGTATTCTTCTATAGACTAGAAGTTTTATTTCATAAACTGACAACGTTTAGTTACCCTGAAATTCAGCAGCTATTGGAAAGACAGAAAAAACGGCTTAATTCTGTTTCCTACTAATTTTGAAAGTAACATTGCTCCAAAGAGTGACAAGTAGTTTCTCTAGCTTTCATTTTTATTTTTGAACATCATTATGTACTAATGGATTTTGTGTACATTTTAATCATTCTTTTTGTTTTTCAAATTTTGATGCTCCTACAACACCTTGCAAAGAATGCTATATAATAATTATAATTTAAAAAATTCTTTGAGCATTTTTAAATACATGTAATATTGGACTGGTGGGAGGATAAGGCTGGATTTTGATCTTTTTTCTTTTTTGCTTTTGCCATGACCTAGCTGGTGACCTTTAACCAAGTTGCTAAATCTTTTGGGGTCTCACTTTTTCATCTATACAAATAGAGAGTTTTGGCAGCTCTGATGTTCTCTAACTTTAAAGAAAAAAAACAATTTTCTGACAGATATTTCGCATATCATAAGATTCATCCATTTCAAGTACACAACTCAGTGATATTAGTAATTTTACAAAATGGTGCAACCATCACTTTAAATCAGTTTTAGAATATTTTCATTTATTTTATAAGATTCCACATTCCCATTTACAGGTAATCACCACTTTTACCCGCAGGCAGCTACTAATACACTTTCTGTCTCTATAAATTTTCCTTTTGTGAACATTTTATATAAATGGACTAGTACATTATATTATCTCTTGTGCCTGACTTCATGTCCTTGGGGTTCTTCCATGATGTAGCTTGTACCAGTAACCCATTCTTTTTTTCTTGCTGAATAGTATTCCATTACATGGATTTTTTTTTTTTTTTGGGTCTACCCATTCACCAGATGATGGACATTTTGTTTACTTTTAGCTATTATGAATAACATGTCTATGAATTTTCATGTACAAGTCTTTTGTGGACATGTGTTTTCATTTCTCGGGTTGATACCTAAGAGTGAAAGAGATAGCTTGTATGGTGGTGCTATGGTTAACTCTTTGAGAAACTGCCAAACTGTTTTCCAAAGTGGCTATACCATTTTCCTTTCCCATGAGCAATATACAGTGTGTGCCAAAGTGGTTTTACAGTTATAAGTACACAAAACAGTTGATTCTTAGGTTATTATTTGTTACTATTTTTCATTTGAACAACTGTAAACCTACTTTTGTCACACCTTGTCCCTGTATATAAGGGTTTCCAGTCTCTGACTTTTTGATGATCTGGAAATATCCTCTGATTAATTTAAGACTGATATTTTTTTCATAATTTTTGCAATTTACTAGCTAAAATTACCTTTTGTTGGGATATCATTAATAATTAGTCTTTAATTATTAGGAATAGTTCTTAAAGGAAATAGAAATATATCAGTCTGCTATAAAATAAAATTCAGCTTAATGTTTTTGAATTTTACCTTTCACTTTTATTTTTCCTGATTCTTTAACAATTTTATTTTAATATTTATTTATTTTTATTGTTGTTCAATTACAGTTGTTACCATTTTCTCCCTATTACTCTTCCCCCCTATCCACTCCCACCTCCCACATTCAATCCTCCCCCCTCAACCCTTGTCTATGGGTCCTTTATGCCTGGTCCTTGAGGATTCTTGCCCCCCTTTGCCCTGTTATCTCCTTCCCTGCTCCCCTCTGGTTACTGTCAGTTTGTTCTTTATTTCCATGTCTCTCGTTATATTTTGCTTGCTTGTTTGTTTTTTTGTTAGGTTCCACTTATAGGTGAGTTCACATTGTATCTGTCTTTTACTGCCTGGCTTATTTCACTTAGTATAATGCTCTCCAGTTCCATCCATGCTGTTGTGAAGGGTAGGAGTTCCGTCTTTCTTCCTGCTGTGTAATATGCCATTGTGTAAATGTACCACAGTTTTTTGATCCACTCATTTACTGATGGGCACTTAGGCTCTTTCCAGCACTTAACTTTCACTTTTAAATGAAGGATGGTAGGAATACTATTAATGATAATGGTTTAGGACATGAAATAGTAAGATATGATCTTGCCTAGTTACAGTAATAAAACAGTAAATCCCAATGATGTCATACAATTTATTTTTTTAAGCCAACATCTTTAATAGTAATGAAATATTTATTGAGTTTGTACATTCTTAGCATGTTAGGTGAGTTATTTCTCGTGACATTTATTTATACTAGATAAAGTATACACTATTTTTGATAAAGTAACAAAATTGACTTCTAAAGGACAGAATCAAGTTACATTTGTGAAGTTATAATGTCTGAGCTATGATTCAAAGTGTGGGAGGAAGTACTGACGTTACAAAGCTCATAAGTACTCAGTATTACTAAGCTCCTGGTTCCAAAGTGGCATATTGTCACTATAGCAACTACCCATGCTTACTTGGATTTGAAACCCAGGCAACAAACTGACAAGACTATAACATCAAGATATGTGATCTGGTGGTTTGATACAGTATGTGCCTGTTGATAGTAAAAGTTTTGTTCTGTTTTTTATGTTTATTATGATTGATTCTTTTATAGAGATGTCTTAATTCTTGTTAATGTATTTTTCTGGAAAGAAATGAAAAGTTCAGTATTCTTATAAATTTTGTTTTCTAACATGCTAAACTTAGTGCCTTTTTCAGTTGGGTGATTAAATATACTTTTACTGTAGCTTTCTCTTCATTATTGTTTGGCAGCTTAACAAACAACAGTTATAAAAATATAACTTTTGTTATTAGCTACATAATGAAAAGGTTTTGAAGACTACCAATAAATGTGCAAATATCCTAAATTCAAACATTTCTCGAAGAAAAA